TAAGTTTATTTTATATATAATATAGCAGAGTTCACATTCATGTGTCCATATCTAACGATGACCTCGTGTTGCACACAGACACACTGTGGGGGGGATCTCGGTGCAGGAGGTGCTGATGTTGTCTTCACAGTAACGCGGGAACGTTTGTCTTGCAGAGAAGAAGGTGTGGACCGTGCTGTCCCACAACAGCACCGCTCCGGTCACAGTTCAGACCTCGTCCCTTCAGAAACCTCACGTCATGACTTTCAACTACAGCGCTTCGGCCGAACAACTACGCGCCATCGTATCCGGGTCGGAACAGTGCCAACAGGAAGTGGTTTACAACTGCAGGAAGTCCCGTCTGTTTAACACAAAAGGTCAGTGACTGTCCTAAAACATGTCCCGAGCTGCACTGGACACGTGCTCAGCAGAAATACAGGGCAAACCTGTTTATATGCTCTCACATGCATTTGCTTGCTGACCCCACGGCCGGCTCCCCCCCACTGTGGGACTGAGTGGGCTCATCCAAAGGAAGCAGTTGAACGTCGTGTTTTTGTTGCATTGTCAGGCTGTCAGCCCGGGGCCACGTTGGTAGCTGCTGCCCCTTAACATCCCCTCGCCCGCTGCTTCCCTGCTCTTGTTATCGTTGAACAATAAGCTGAAAGGCTGTGTCCAATCTTCTGGTGTACATTCATCTCAGATCTCTGGCACCTATGGTGTTCCAAACATCCGAGCGCTCGCGCTTAAATCATGAAAGATTCATGATTCTGCTGTTCCCTGGGTAGCATGTGTGCACAAACAAACAAGTTCATTATCACCCCAGACATCAAACAACAGCCACAACAGCGGATTTCGTAGCTGCGTGAACACTCGAAGAAACAGTCGGCGTTTTGTAACGGCCGTCTTTGTTGTTTGGACGCTCGCATCTCCCGTGGAAAACAGGTCAAATGTCTTTTTGTAATCCACTTCTCTGAGCGTGCAGGTGTAAACAGCATCCATTTAACCAACGGTGTTACTCAACAGAATATGCAAATGGCTCTTGGACGAGATGCCACTCATCGTGCTAATTTAGCAGAAAAAAAACAACAGCAGTAGCTGTTCAAAGGCTCCGCTGGGTTTTCTGGTGCAGCCCTGCCAAAAACATCTGAAGTTCACCTCCAGTTGTGGCGTTTTGCTGTGCAGCGTGTCCTCCGACTGCCATCGTTCCCGCCACTCTGAGCGCAGATGTTCAGTCGTGTCCTCGTGCTGAAAGCGCGCAGCTCTGCTGTGATTTGCATTTTAAACATGTTGTTTTTTCTTTATTAAATACTCATAATGAACTCGGTTTGCTTTGAGGCAACTGTGGCTTTTAACGTGACAGTGAATTAATATTAAACATTCACAACGGCGCTTTAATTACTCGTCTTTTTGATGTCTTATTCTGCAGTCTTCTTTGTTCTTTTCAC